AATGGTGTCATCGAGCGTTCTTTCGATTGTGTAAGAAATAAATGCTTACAGAACCATCAACACTATAAGGGGGCGTTAGGAATCTGACACAACCCAAAGTTCAGGCAATTTGGTGGAAAAAAGGTTCAACAAGGGGGTTATGTGAAATTACCGACAGAAAAACAGATGGTGTTATAATATCATAAAGTCCGAATAAACACGCATAATATCTGCGAATGTGCAATACATGTAATAATGTTATGCAAATCATTAAATTTAAGCAAATCTAGTTTACAATATTGTAATGCAGATTAATTTGTCATTAAGTTTATATGAAAAACTATAAAGAATACTCACACATATAGAGAACTAGTATAGTGCACGTGCATTGCAGGTGGACATATTTGTTTCATGTTCTAAAAATTTTATGTAATTTGTAATATCATTTGTTGAAAGTTTGTTTTTGGATCTAATTATAGAAAATCTCGAGGACTTGTTTGTAATTTATCTTCATTAAAACCCCTAGACTAAAGCATATTTTTTGAGGTTTTTTTTAGTTTATAGGGGGTTATCTGTAAATTTATAAAGTTATAGGGTTTTTCCCTAAACTTTATGCATTTTCAGGTTTCTTTCTACAAATTTTATAAAATTAGCTCATCTAGTTTTAGACATTTTATGAAGCTAAAGGGTTGGAGGGTTTAATTTGAGATTAGTAAAGATATAGAGAAGATTAATGGTGAGGTTATGATGGTGATTAAATGTGAGAAATTGACTACAATTCTATGCTATTTAAACAACTACACATGAACATATCAAAATACATATTTTATGTGAATGGATTAAATTGGGCTGAATGTTTGAGGCATACAGTATAAGATAGCGAAACTTTATTCTTACGGAGCATAGAAGAACAATAATAACTAATTGAAAAGGAAAAACCAAATTCATTAAGGAATTATGTGCACTTTAGAATTTGCTTCATCAAGTAAAACACAAAATAGAAAGAAATTAGCAAATAATATTTACTCCCACTTCCACTTTTTCACTGAGCCCATTATCCATGGAAATATTGTTGCATAAGCTGAAAATACCAAGCAACTAATAAATTAAAATCAACAGCCTTGTGTCTTGTGAAGACTTCACTATAGAACAAACTTTTTTCACATTTGTCCAAATGGACCGCATTAAAAGTGGCAAATGAATCTAAGGAGGTTGGAGCTGCGAGAATGATGTTAGAGACCACAATAGGTAAGAACTGAGGGGGGTGGCGGGTTTTTTGTTTATTGTATCTCATCTAGTGTGTATTGTGTAGTTGATCTGGTGTATTGTGTGCTGGGGGGTCTGTTGTATTGATTTATTAGTCTTATCTGTCTGTCTTGTCGTATCAATGCTGCGTTGGTGTGTTTGTGAATCGGAGGAGTGGGGTGTGAAGGGAGCGTAGAGATTTGTGGTTGTGTGGTGTTTGGCGCGTTTCGGGGTTGTATGTGAGCGGTGTGGGTGTTGTGAGTGAATTTGTGTGTGTGGGTTGTGAGGGGTGGTTGGGGGGGGTGTTGGGATGTGTAGAGATTGAGGTGGGTGGGGGTGGTGGGGGGGTCCGTGGTTGTGTCGTGGGGGGAGCAAGTGTTGGGGGTGGTGTGTGGTCTCTGCGATGGTAGGGTGTTGGGCCGTGGTTGGGAGTAGGTGGGGCGGTTGTGGCCGCCCCACACAGTTAAGAATACGATAAATTGGAGAGTTGCATAATTGAGAGGTTACAGATAGATATGGAGGATTAATGAGCATTTGTCATAACAGTGCAATCAACGATGGATAATGGGAAAATGGGTAAAGCTTTATGAAGGAGTAAATTAATGGATTGTTAACTAAAAAGCTAGTGGGATAATGAAAATATCAAAAATATATTATAATCACAATGCCAATGGGACAATGAAAAGCTAGTGGGACAATTTAAATTTTTTCATGTCGTTGATTTTGTTCATACTTATAAAGTTTATAAAATATTAAAAAGCGAACCCAGAATACTGCCTTGTCTTCTCTTCCACGTCTCTTTGCAGAGGAACTCACTAACCACCCATCCTCGACCTTGACCTGCAAGCACCACCACCTCGCTCCAGTCTCACACCAATCCACTCTTATTTATCAACAACATCGCTTATCATCAACATCAGAGCCTTTGGCTCCAACTTCAAGTTCTGCGGTCTCAAACCACCCTTCGATCACTTTGCCACCTTCAATCTTCGACTATAATACATTCATTGTTTGTGAATGGATCTCCAGCAGCTCCTCCTGTTCAAGCAACCTTCACTCCCTTTTTTTACAAATTCAAGCTCTGCTATCAGCCCTTCGTGACTTCATTACTTCCTTCACTGTCGTTTTCCCATTGCAACCAGAGGCTTATCAAAGATTGCTCATCTATAGGTTTGTGTTTAATAAGGATTTGAAACTTGAAGATCTTTCTTTATTTAATTCAAAGGTATTTAACTTAAAAAATCATCACTCTTTGCAGTTCTGCAAGTCGTATGGGACTTCTCCATGTGTTTAGGTTTATTTGAACTTACCATTTCATAATTACAATTATTGTAGGTGTTTAGATTATTTTATTGCCGATCTATAATTTTATACTATATTGTTATATTTCCGTCATTCTTTAGTGATAATTTTTCATTCACAAAGCATTGAGTTCTTTAGATTGTCTATTTAGAAATCCTACAAATTCTATCTTGCATCACCCTCAGGCAATCAAATGGACCTTGAGCCCCAAAAAATTGAAGGGACAAGTAACATTTAAAAAATATTATGTATTACAGTTCACAACAAAGTCCATGTATAAATGTTATTCTTTTTCTAATTTTTTCTATATGCCATATCAACTCTTTCCTATTTCGGTATGTTTACCTAGACGTATTTTGATATATGGACTCTTTCAAAGCCTTAAGATATCCAAAAAATCCCAAGATCATTAACTATATGGCAGATACTAGTAATATTCCATTAAGTTTACAGAATACATTGATTACTCAATTTTTCCCTCGTTCAACAGTACTTCATTAAAATTTTTCCCTTAAAGCAGTCTGAGGGTTTATAGGCAGACCTCATTGTCATATTTAATTAAAAGTAATTAATCAACTAGAGATTTTTGAAATAAGAAGTTGCTTTTAGGGCAGTACATTAAAACACAAAGTTTCAAGGGAGGAGGCCTAAAGAAAAGTTTTTCCTAATAGGAATCCAAACCTATCAAGCAATCAATTCAGTTGAAGAGTTAAAACAGAATCTTAGTTTTATATTCTGACTATATTGACAATGCATAGTTCTAAATTGATGCAAAAGCCATGGATAAAAACATAAGAAGTGCAATGCTTAACGTCTTGTTTGCTTGTTTACATTTTCTCATACATGTTGTCAGGAGAGTCGCATTTGCACGGTTTAAGTGTGGGTCTGGTAAGGCACAATATGGTATACAGTGCCACGTCAGAAGAACTGCTAGATGGATACAAGGTTAAATATGGTTGGACTCATGAGGCAGAAAGGGTTAACCCTAAATTAATTTAGGTCCAAGTATATTAAAGCCTATTCCATCTCAGCTCATGGGCCTTTGCAACCCAACAAACAAGCATCAAGCTCCAAGTTATACTGGCACTTGGATGTTCCATTTGCACCTAGGCTTTATTAGCATTGCTAGAGCTCAAGGTAGAGCACACGTGAAGCTCAATATGCCAGTAATGTCTCTTGGTCTAGCACGGGCTAGAGTTTCCTTCTGTGCACATGTTGTCATACTTGCCTTCGACGTGACTTTGATTGTTCGTAAAGTGTTGAGTCATTATCTCCAGTAATCATTAAGTTGTGTGGTAGTGGGCTCAACTTGGACTCAATTGGATCCAAGCCAAATGGAGAATTATTAGGAGTCTCGCATCATTCAGTTTGTGGCTTTGGTCTAACAAAGGCATGAGATGGGATTTAAACCCACATTAGAAAAATAATTAGATGGATATATGGTGGGGTATGTTAATCCTTTTGAGTCAGTTAAGGTGCAAGCATACTGGCCTAATTACATGGGCCCTTGCAACCCAACACGTGCGCATGAGTATGTGTGTTCCAATGATAAAGAGATGAGGGAGAATGACAGCTATGGGACATGTAGAATAGAAACCATGTGGTGCCCCAGTTTGCAAGATGGTTGCAACTGTATTTAGAGGAGAAACAACATCCCATGATAGGTAAACAAACTGGAACAATGCGCCTAAATTAAAAGGACAAGATTGGTGTTCATTTAACAGTGAAATGACCCTAAAAGTGTTTACTAAGGGCCTGTTTGGTTCATCTAAAGTGGGCTCACAAACATTTTTCACTGCTCTGACACAGGGTCCAGCAGTGCAAAATGAAGTTTTGGGCTTTCAAGTAGCCAGTTTGGTTCGCAACGATAAAATGGGAAATGGGCTCCGAGAAACCTCTCCACGTTGGAAAATTTTCCCACTTCCATTTCCTCCCTCAACCGATAGAAATAGGCTGAAAACCTCCTCCTTGACGTGGTTCTGTCAGATACATTTCTTTGGGGAAACTAAGAACGGCTAGGGTTACCACTCATTCTCCCCCCTTCTCTCATCTTGGCGCCTTCATCTCTCTTAGGTAGCTCTTTTACCGCCATTTTACTGAGGGCTTTGACATTTTGAGTTAATGGTGGAGATCTATAAATAATGATCATTCTTTGATGATTTCCTGGAGTTGAAATTGGGGGTTCTGTGAAATCATTCTTGCCAATTGGGGACTTATATAAATTTTGCTTCATCTCTCAAAAAGGTAATTCCTTTCTTGCTAA